GGGCTGAACCATGTATATATAGCAGAGGGAGCAGGTACAGTAAATAAGGTCTATGATAATTAGAGAGTGGGGCAGGAACAGCAGGTGAATTAAGTGAGTAATCATATCAGCTACCAGGGATGCGATCATGATACAGGGAGCTTTGATTTAATTTAGCGGGGCTTAAGCACCCCCCAAAATGGGCTGACAGTGCCTATGGTTATAACATTCAAATCTTTACCCAGTCAGCCTTAAACCCCAGTGGTTTAAAATTAACTGAACTGAATATGCAATAAATTTACTTCTTACTCACACAACAAAGAATGAAACATTTTAAAGTAGAAGTTGATTCATGAATAATTACAATGTAGATTAAAGTTTATGAGGGCTAGAATAAATACATTATTCTTCAAAAACAAGTTATTGCAACATGTACCTTTTGTTTTTATTTAGTTCTAATGTTATTTATGCACAGAATGCAATCAATTAAAATTTTGTTTTAAAGCAAAAGAGATGTCTTTCTAATCCACCTACATAGCCATGTCATCTGTTCACACTATTTTGCATGTGTTCTTCTATGTATTACAAAATATGCACATCATGCTTTGATCTCAAAGTTATTCATTCTTGCAAAGGAACATAATTCCCATATTACGTATTTTTTGGAATTAACTTTAATTATTACTTCAAAAAGGTTCCACATAGTTCTCATTTATACATACATAATACTTTGAAAAATTAAAGTGTAAAAAAACCTTCAAAAGTTGGATTAAAGTGTGGGTTATACTCTGCAATGTAAAGCTTACAAATTAGCTGTGATACCTGATTATGAGGTAAAAAGGGCAGAAACTGGGTCTTTCAAAAAGAATGAAAGCAAATAATGAGTTTCTCTGCACAAAATGTTTCCAGTCAAACTTGGTCTCCCTATTCCAAAAGTTCTGTACGATTTTAATTTTGTGGATACAAATACTGTGCAGCAGTATATACCTTCTTCTAGCCTAAGTTGATGGTAGAATTTGCAAAGAAACTTTCTGAACAAACAAACTGACAAGCAAAAAACAACAACAAAAAACTTTTATTCCCAGGCAGCGTTGAGTGTTTGAGAACAAGCACAGCAAACAGAAAAAAAGTCTTTCTAACAACAGCAGCTCTCCATATGGAACCAGTCTGCCTTTATTTCTTGTCTTTCAGCAACCAATAGGAAAAGTTTTCTTGGTGACAGGGTCATGGACAACTTCTTGTTGGGTGAAAAATGAAATATGAAAACCTCCAGAACCACGGATTGATTTCTTGAGTAGTTAATACATAAACATCCTGTTGTTCATAACTTCAAAAGAAAATCATTATTATTTTATTTTCAGTCCCTTGTTTTATCAGGTGTTGAAAGTTTTTTTAAAGCGGACTTTAATAACTATTTCAAGCATTAAATCATTATTTACGTTTTAAAGAAATCTAGCAAAATATGGAACCTGGATATACTAGCACTTATTACACATGCATTACAGTAGTGCTATTTACAAGGCTGAATGATGGAACGGTTTAGCTTCTGTCCCAAAAGAGATCTCAGGTCTGCTGCTGGCCATCCTCACCCAGGCTGAATATTGTTATTGATTTGCAAATGAGCTGAGTGCTCTAGTCATGTTGCTGAGCCTCCTCTTTCACCGACACTGAATACCCCTGAATGTCTTTCGTTACGCAACTTTTGTGCTGGTGCCACCATCGCTGACAGCGGCAGAACACAAGGACTGCCTGTGTCTAAAAGTGTCCTCTCGATACCCCCTCCGGGGTCTCAGATGTGAAAAGAGGAAGGACAAGGAACTGCTGCAACACAAATCAGTTGGGAATATAAGAGGTAAACAGAATCTGTTTTTTGTTTGAATATAACCACTCTCAAAATAGCTCTTGCTGCATCTGCAAAAACAACATACAAAAAATTAGCAAACACAAGACAAATTTTCAGTGCTGGCACAAGCATTCTTTGAAGGAAATGCTAAAAGTACAAGTTTTTACAATAGTCAGTGGTAATAAAAACTAAAGCAACTATTTAAGGTCACATTTCTTGTTATGCTGATAGGCACCGCACATATATACCTAATTCACTGACTAAGACCGGCTAGATTTGAGGTGATGTGTTTTCTCTAATTTAATTTAGAACAGTGGTTGGCATGTAAAACAACATACTATAACTATCTATGTTGAGTAATCTCTGTGAAAACCATCCACTTGTTAACATCCACTATACAAATGACCAATCATTGTAGGTTTAAGTGTAGCAGACCAATAAGCAAACAGAAGAAATGTTTTAAAGGGAAAATAAAAAATGATATACTGTTTGAATAATTCTTCCTCTGCTTCAAAATTCTGTAATTTATAATAAAGTTTTTTAAGTTAAACACTTTTTGTGAGGCATTGTAATTTAACCAGTATAGGTTTGCAATCTGCAACCTAAATAATAAGGTTAATCCTCAATATATTAGTATTTCCACTCTCAAAGCTGAAGATTTCCAAAATGCTAGAGTAGATTGTCTACATATTTCTGTTATCTATCTCTTGCAGTCAACCCACAGGAAATTTACAGAACGATTTAAAATCTTTAATTCAGATGTCCCTGAGGTTTTTTCTCTGTTAAACTTAAGCAATTCACCTTTGCTTTGGGGTCACTGATGGGCAGTAAGCAGTTCATATAATATCCGTCTCAAACTCCTAAAAAATTAAAAAAAACAAACCAATGGACTTTGTTTCCAAGTTTGAAGACATTTCACTTCCCATCCAGGAATTTTTTGCAATTCAAATGTCAGAAATAGCATTGAGTTGCTTTATACAGTAGCTCAACAGAGCCTTGTTTTTGTTTAGAAAACATGCAAATTGAAACGGAAGAACAGGTCCACCCCTTTGGAATGGGGCTCGTTTTGCTTCTTATGTTAGCCTGCAAAGCCCCATACCTGTCTATGTCTCTGAAAAGGGGGGATCGAGTCTACCTCGTTTGTTTAAGGTTAGTTTTTCTTTCTCCTATGCCATCTATGTTGAGAAAGAAAAAACAACCTTAAACAGAGGGGGTGAATTTCAGCTTTCAAAAACCTCCAGCAATTGAGTTTATCCCTTCCTGCTATCATTGCAACCGCAACCCCTTTACAGGGAAACAGAAGACTCCACCTATTCATCCAGGCCAACAATTCCCTTTAATTACCCCCCCTTTCAGAAAATAGACAGGTAATAGACCAGTGGATTGTTTTTTTTACTTTTTTGAAATGACTATGACCTGGACGACTGAGAATCTTCACCACCCTCTGAAACATTAAAAACATCCAAGATCACACAAGTATGGGTGTTGATCATTTATTTTTTTTCTAAATAAAAATGAAAAACACACATTTATACTTATCCTTTGTCCATTTATCTGCATCACCAACTCTTTTTTTGATTTTTTTTTCTCAAAAAACATTGTTTTTTTTCTTAAGAAACAACCCTTTTTAAGTGTTTTTATACAGCGGATTAACCCATCACAAACAAAATCTCCTTATTTCCAGAGTCTTATTCACAAAAAGGCTACTGCTTTCTATTAGAGACAGCGACATTTAATGAGAGGCACTTACATTAAACTCTAGCACAATTAGGCATTTCATGACAACCTCAGGAGTAAAATTAATCCCTCCAATGAAATTGGTCTCAGTTCTCAATGTGTCACCCGGTGGGTTGCGACTTCATTTCTATTCATTGACCCTTCATGAATTAAAGCTCATTTCCTGAGCATGCTGCTTTGTGGCAGCTCCCGCAGCAGGATGCTTGGCTTTCATCTGCAGCAGCTCGGAAAACCTTTCCTTTTATTCTCATTTGATTCGAGGATTAGATCTGATTACAGATTTGAGCCGAACAACCTCTGCAACAGCCACACAATCTTCCTTTCCCCTCTTGCTAAATTTACATAAAATTGATGGGATTTCAGCCCAAGATTCCTTCACAAGCACAACAGAGATGTGTTACAGAACAGCCTGCTGTGTTATTATCAGCAACTAATGTTTCAGTGAAATGGTCAAAGAGGATTAAAAACTTAAAATGACATTCAGCTTTTGTCCTTTGTCTGTACTTATCAATCAACATTAAACATTTTTTTTTTCACATCTTGTCTCAAATTTCATGTTTCTACCTAATATGATTACTACTGTTAACAACAAGACAAAAACATGTTTTTTTTCTTTTGCGCTTTGGTGGAGGTGTATTGTGTGTCCTTGTATGTAAACATATTTTCACAGCAGTTTTCAATCAAAGAGAACCATGTGTCCCATAAGCAACAAAATCTAACGGCGTCATAACCGATTTCCTTTCCTACTTTTAGTCCGCAACTACTGAAGGACAGGTCAGCAGCAGTAGAAAACAAGAAATACATCTTTTCTTTGTGGGAACAATCATGAAAATATCTGTTTTATACAAAATTAAATACACTTACAGTATTGTACAGTTTTTCTTTTTTTCTGATACAGGTGAGCTCAAGCAATACTTCAAAGCCTCTGAAAATGAGAGGGTCTTAAAACTGTAAGGAAAGATGGATTGTGATACAGCTGGAGCTTTTGGCAAAACAACAGATACCCTGCAGTAGCAAAGTAAAATTACTCATGTCACTAAAGCACAGAAAAGGGTCATGGATGTGTAGAATGTGGTTGGGGTGGGCTAGAGATCAGTTGGAATTGGGTGGCAGTGAAGATAGAGACCTTATAGCAGTAGTTTGTTTTTTCTAAATTGAGGTGAAGGTATTACAAGTAGCAGCCCCCTTACTTGTTTTAAACACATGTCATGTTACAATAATCTTCTGAGAGCTTGTCAGAACAGAAAACCTAAAGGTACATTGACTCTGAACATGAATGAGGCGAGTTCTCTGCATGGTTCACCTTCCGTTAGCCGCATGACGCTTCAGCTCCATTTTACAAATGATCTGTGTATTTAATTTGTAAGTTTGAATATCATACATATCTACATGTCATTCGGAAAATTTAAAACTGCAGTTACAGATAAATGTAATTCAGTTTTAACCAAACAAAATCTAACTCCAGCTATCTTGAATAAGACTTTTGAACAGGCAAAATTTAGTGTCACAGATAACAGTAATAAATCAAATGTATTGATTATATCTAAAAACACCTTGCCACACAACTGAAACAGCTGTAACTTCCACCCAGCTAGTTTCACTGAATGATCAAGCAGAAGGAGCAACAATCTGCTTGCCTTTATTGCATATTATGTGCCCAATAGATCAGTATATAAAGCCAAACAGCAGTGCCTGCCTACTTAAAAATGCTTTGTTACATCTATGCAACTCAACCTCAGGTCACAACATTAAGTCCGCGATTGGTTATTCAGATGTGAATTAACAGAGAAGTTTAGATTTTTAAACTGCAAAAGTTTGCTACGCTCTTTCCATGAGATCACTGCACCAGTACTTGCAGTGTCAAAATCACTAAATTTGCATTTGATATGCATCCCTCTTATGGTCCAGGTATGTCCAAAGACGGTCCTTGAGGGCCGCTGTCCTACAGGTTTTCAATGTTTCCCGGGGTCAGCACAGCTGATTCTGCTTATTACAGCTCAGCAAAAGACTGATAATTAGCTGGCAATGGAAATCAGCTGTGCTGAAGCAGGGAAACCTCTAAAACCTACAGGAAAGCAACCCTAAAGGACCGACTTTGGGCCTGCCTTGTTTATGACCCTTGAACAAGTCTCTACATAAGGATAATATAGAAATAACTTGCTCCATTCATGTCATTTCATCTTGCTAAGAAGACACTTTAACAGAGGGGACATCTGGTGCCGCTGGTTATTTAAATTTAAAATAACTCCAGCAGAAAATATTTATAATTGTACATGCTGTGAGCTAAAAGTAGCATCATCTCTGTACAAGTTGAACACAATGTTAGAGGGATACCATTTAAACAATTTGATTTTCATTGACAAAAATTAAACATTTTAAAATGCAGAGCGTCCATAGCTGAGTCCTTAATACTACCTATACTTATGGTTGCCAAAGGCTGCCCCCAGTATCAAGATACCTGTTCATCATCATCTCCCCCAGCATGGTTTAAAAATCTAAACTTGATAAGATCGAGTAATATTTTTGATTTAATGCCAAGGTGCGTTGAAGTTTTAGGAAATTATATCACTAGTCGGATGAATCATGGCAGTAGAGCAGGCAGAAGCCATTTGAAAGGGGTAATTAGCCAGTAAATAGTACAATCACATAGGTAAACTACCTCCTTAGTATTTATGCAACTTCTTCAAAGTCCTGCTAATGACTGATAATTTGACTATAATGTGTCGAAGCAGAGAAAATAGACTTTGTGGAAATTGAAGAACCCTGGCTACGAATTTGGTTGCCGAAGAAAACCTTAACTCGCTAAAAAAAAAATTCCGTTTTCTCATGGACTAATATAGTCCCCAGGTGTTTAGGAATTTGCTTAATCATTAAATGATCAAATAGCGGGTTAAGGGGATTTACTATGCGGTGAACTTTGTTTTCTGTCTGAAAAGGTACTAGCCTTCAACCTGAGAGATTAATCACCATTAATCAAACTCAACTTAACTATGACATAAATCTTAAACAGGTAAGGATCCTACTACTCATATCTCTGTATATCCTCACTTCAAAAAATTCAAAAATCACTTTAAGAGGTCTCTCTTCACAATAAATATTTTTTCGGAATACTTAAATTGATAACAAGATAACTTGTGTCTAGTTCTGCAGAGCTTGCCATCACAATCTGGATAGATTTTGCCTAAGGAGAGAATGTCCAGTCTTTATATGAAGAGGCAAAAGAGAAAGACATTTTTACAAAGCAATGGCATCTACAGTCTTTTCCTGTGAGGTAAAAAAGTCTTTCTTTCACTGTGCCTTTCAAGAAACTGCTTGCCCATCTCTTTTCTTCACCCAACAACTTGGTCTTGGAATAAAAAAAATGGTTATACTGAGGACAAACACTTTGTTTTTTCATGTTCATAAAGTTGAAAGGACTCTCTCAGCATTTCTTGTCTTGGGGGTTGATTTCAGGGATTTTGGTTCAAGCTTCTCAGCAAAGAGAAACAATTGAAAGTAGGACCGTTAAAAGGGGAAGGAAAAGTGGATGGTCTACAGAGTGATGATGGAGGGCTGCCCGTCCAGATAGCTGGTCATCACACTCTCCGGGACCCTGGCATCTAGCCCTTTCACACAGGACGCCTGTGAAGCCAGGGGCACAGTGGCACTGCTGATGGTGGTGGCATGTTCCACCATTCTGACAGCGCAGCATCGCATTGTCACATACCCGAGCTGCAGAGACAAAGCAAAAAGGGCAGGGGAAATAGAAAGGAAGGCCTGATTAATAGAACGCTTTGTGAAAGGGGCAGATCAGAACATCAACAAACAGGTTTACAAGGCACAAGTTGCCTCTTCCTGTCGTGTCTTGATGGCTCAGCATCCTTACTGAGTAGCAGGCATATCAGTGAGGACCAAACTAAGAACAGCAATCAGCATTAAGAAAGGTAGAACCATCAGCTGAAAAAAAAATATTTTCATTAAACAGCTGTACTGTGAGTAAATGTATACAGTAAGAGACAGTAAGAGAAGAAGACATCTTTCAAAAAAAAGGGTAGCTTTACATATTAAACAAAATAATAATAATAAAACATTTTATTTAAAGCACATTTTAAGACACTTAAGGTCACTGTACAAGAAAACAGTCAAAAATACACAATATAACACATTATACACTATATTAAAAACAGTGGAGGCAGTTAGTGTAGGTATGCAGTCTTGAACAGATCATTATCTGGTACACAGATTTAAACAGAAGTAAATTGTCAAGATTACAAATATCATATGTGAGTGAATTCCAGAGTTTGGGAGCAGAATGGGAGAAAGCTCTGCTTCCCATGGTGACAATATGGGCAGGAGCTCAACAAGTATGTTCTTTTATGTGTATATGGAAAACTGCGAGTTGAAAGTATTCTAAGCAGGATAAAAAATCTTAGTGAATTAGTGCGCAAGTTATTTTAGACAGGAACTAGATTTTTTTTTATTTTCTGTACCCTAATGGTCACATTTATAAATACTAACTGATAGGACAGAACTTCTATTATGTATTTATATTTATTTAGAAATGTATTGCTACTTTATTGTTACCTAATGGGCTACCTTTAAATAACATCAGTATTTTGGTAGACTTTCCTAGAACTCACTGGCTATTGGTGGACGTAACAGCTGTTGCCCAATATTCAGGAAATACCTTGAAAGTTTTGAGAAAGTTCAAAGAGAAGACCTAGTAAGGTTTTAATAATGTTTCAGAGACCAGTAAACTGTTTTAGGAAAAGATCTGGGAAAAAAAGAATATAATTTCTGAAAAGTTCAGTTACAATACTTGTAAGTCTAAGGCTACGTTCACACTGCAGCCTGAAGTGACCCAAATCCGATTTATTTGCCCATATGCGACCTGGATCTGATCTTTTAATGGCTGTCTGAACAACACAGATCCGATTTTTTCCTATCTGACCCAGGCCACTTGGCTATGTGGTCCTGAACCCGATACGAGTCTGATCTTCTCAAATGCGACATGTGTGTGAATGGCCAGGTCGGATTCATCCGACCTGAATGTCATTAATACCCAACAAAGGTCACTATTCTGCGTCTTGATATGCAGAAGCTGCAAGAAAAACAACAACAATGGCAGTCGATGATGCGGAGAGCAGTATTTATGTTTAACCATATTGAAAAGTTTGTGTTTAGATGGTTGGAAAAGACCGCTAGATGTGTGCCGGCACTACCATCCATGTTTACTTCCGTAAACATAGAGCACGCTGGCCTGTGATGTCATTGCGTCCTCTACTGTGCATGCGGGACACTTGCGTTGTATGACTGCAGTTCACACAGGAGATCACTTACAAGCAGCATATATTTGGAAATATGAACGGCAATGCAAAAAGAATCGGATTTCACAAAAAATATCGGAACTGAGCATCAAGGGCCTGCAGTGTGAACGTAGCCTAAGAGTGTTATTAGTGGCTTCTAGCAAATTAGCTGCTATTTGTCGTAAATAAGCTTAAGGACTTAACTGGGAGATTATATTTGACACAGTGATGCTTCACATGCAGTGTTTAAAATAAACAGGTTATAAATCTAAAATTCTGAATATTACTTTTTTATATAGAATAGAAAATAATTGCCTGTCTGCATGTTGTTTGTCAAAAAATGTTTTTTTTTTGTTTCTCTATAAGCTATAAGTGAACAGTCAAACTAGATTTTTGCTCTGTTACTGAAGTGATTAAATCTGTTCTTCTGTTGAATTATGTTAAAAAAAAATGGTTTGATTCTTTTTTTCCCTGGTTTTAGAAGGACAGGTGACGTCTAAAGGACTGCAGCTGCATTTGAAATTGATAGAATTATTTTAAAAACTGCTGATATTGTGTTGCCATTAGAAGCCTAAATATTTCTTGAGTCGATTTCAACCAGCCTCAAGGATAATAAAAAATGATAAAGATGGCTTGATTTATTTATGTGACGATCTCAAGTTATGACAACTTTTCAGATGAAAAAAGCTGTTGTTATTTTCACCTTTCTGGACTAGTTTTTAATAAACAATACTTTATTGTCCATAAAGCATATCTTTGCAGGAATGGATAGTCTTAGTACCTGTGAAATCTTTATTTATTTGAATATAGAGTGATGGGTATTACATAAGATGATATTCACCTTATTCTAGGTACCACCTCATAACTCAATTATCTCAGTGAGCCTTTCTTCTGGCAGCAGTGAAATCCAGGAAGAGGTAATGTTTGCTCAAAGATTTCTGTGTAATTGGATATCTCCTCCTGCATAAATAGTAATTATACTTTTTGGTTTTCACTATTGTGGCTTCAAAAAAAATAATTATTTTTCTGCCTTAAAACTGATTAATAAGGCTGTGGCATTGCATCTGACTCAATCGTTCGCTTTCATAATCTCTGGTGTTGTTTTTCTTTTTTTGTGTGATGATAAATGCAGTTTCCTGTTTTTAAGTGTATAAAAACTTTATATATAAAGGAATTCTAAGGTTAAATATTTCACCATATTAACTAAGTTGTTTTACCTAAAATGCATCATGCTGCTCTGTAACAGCTTCTTCCCAGTGTCAGCTGTAAATAGAGGTTTGAAATAATGAGGCTGCTATGAAACATTTAAATGAGACAATGTAAAATCTGAAAAATATTTTATCGATGACTAAAACCATTTATTTTAATAGTGGATCTGAACTGATAAGAGGAATGTTCTTTAGTGATTCACTTTGGAGAAACTCGCACAGAGAGAAGCCAGCAAAGAGAAAGCTTTATTGACATGAAGAAATTATGACTTTTGGTGCTCAGACCCTGGCAAAAAAAGTCAGAGCTGAATGCAAAAGATCTGAGTAAGTATTCTGACACTGGTGATGAATGGAGGCTAGAGAACGAAGGCGTTGAAGGGGTGGAGGAGGGTAGCAGTGCAGGTAAGCGAGGATGTTATTGAATCTGGAGCCTTAAAAGCAGAGATCTGAACGATCATTGGTTGATATGTAGGGATGAAGTTGCACATGTAGGCTGGAGCTTCCCAACATGATGTGGAGAGGAGTGGCAGCTTGAAATTATGTCTAGGCTTCATTATGCATTTTCAATTTTATATTGGTCTGATGTTTTGTTTAGTAGTTTTATTTAGTTATTGAGAGTTTCTGGTGTTGCTCTTGTTTTCTCATGCTTTTTTTGTGCATTTTTTGTCTGGTGAGTCCACTAAAGGTTTTTCTATTTTTTGAGTACCAGTAACTGCAGTTTGATTTTGGCTAAATCTTTTAGTTTTAACACTGTATTCAGCTATCCTTCACAAGCCTGAAACAAATACATATTTAAATATACAGCAAAATCAAATAAATTAGATTTCCAGTGTTGATGTTGTATGTAGAAAGTACAGTGTTAATTCAGCACATATTAAGTCCAACCTCGACCCTGCAAACATTAGTTCTACCACATAGTTGGGGTTAATTGAGTTAAATTCAACCAACTCTGTCAAGTGTTGCTTTTAATATAAATTATCATTTTAAAAGTGTTTATATTGGTTGGCTCTAGTTCAAGCTAAAATAACACTTTTGGAAGTATTAAACAGTTAACAGACATTATAGCAACACTCGTAATAGTTGTAATTTAACTCTGAGCAGGACATAATTATCTAATTTGCTGAGTAATATGGCTATTTATTTGCTGTGTTTAATCTCTTTAAAAATGACCAGGATATAGCCATCCCTTTTTTCTTTCCCAAAAAAAAAAAAAAAAGCTCTAAGGTATATTTTCATAACCTCAGATTTACATCACCTCCTGAGAAAGGAACCCAGGCTTTGTCTTAACTTAAAAAAAAAATCAAAATACATAAACAAAGACAGCATATTTACTTGATTACACCTTACATACAGAGAAGGTTAAAGCAAGCTTACTTTCATGATGCAGGATAAAATACAGTGGCATTCTGTCTTTAAACTAACATTAATGCCTCAGTTTAAAGAAATTGCTTTATATGACATCATTCACTCCTGAACTCAAGCTGACAACAAGAAAAGACACAGCCAGAGCTAGCTATGCACCATGCAGCACACCCTCTGCAGATATGTGTGCCACACACCTTTGTTATATGTGTGACATTTTAAGAGTGTAAGTGTTATGACAGATCTGTCCTCAGGCCTCAGTGGTACATGAAGCAACAGGGAGAAAAACTCTGCAGCAGCCACACAACAGTGACACAAAGGACAAACATCTGATGCAATTTGAGGGTGTTAGTTTTTTATGTCATTTCATCTTGTACAGCTTTCCAATATTTATTCATTGAATGAGAGATTGGAGGCTAATTAGTGTAAACTTCATCTATTAGTAATGTAGATGCATAGTGACTTTAGTAGACCAATGCTTTGAACATGTCCAATTTTTTTATCGTCTAATCTCTCTGAGCTCTTTCAGTCCTCCAGATACTCTACAGCTGAAGTCAGAGAGAGATACAGAGTATCTTAGCATGATAAGAGGCTGGGTGTCACAAATCAATGCCCTTGATCTTATCTCCTACTTCTATACTTTTTTGCAAAAGATCAAGATCAAGGTTCTACTGCATGTGACCAAGGAGGTCTGGTTATTTACATGTATATATGTGTTTAACCTTGTTAAATATTCTATGCAAAAGCAGAACCCCCCACCCCCACCCCCACCCCTACCCCATACAGTATTATAACAGATAAAAAATATATATTATAAGATTAAAATATTATTCAAGAAGTATGATAAGAATAATCAGAATACAAACGTGCCAGAGTCAGAAAGAACTTCTATTTATTTACACATATAAGCCAAACTAAAAGATATCCACTGTGATGTATTTAATACTTTTAAATGTGTTTATAATAATAGATTAAACAGTGCATTAATCATAACTAGAGAAATTTATTAAATGCAGGATATACTAATTATATGCTTGGAGCAAAAATAGTTTTGCCTCAATTACAATCGGTCAATATCTTTTGCCATGATGTCAGTGTAAGCTGAAACATTGCATTCAGTCGTGCCTGCTCTTATCATATTAACACACAGGCCTCATCATTAGTCAGTGATTCAAGGCACTGAAGTTCAATATGCACTGCCACTTATGATATACCCCTTGACTGTAGAGGAGATATGATATTATCTCAGAAGAGAGAATAGCAAATCATTTCCATTTTACAGGAGAGCTTTACAGGTAAATGCTTTCTAATCCGGAAACCTGCATAAGTAGGACTGATGTTTGATTTATTCGTTTTTACATCGGATTTTAGTTTCAATATATTTTTTCTAAATATTAATTTTAGTTAATTGTAAAATATTTCATGGACAAGGTTAACTTTCACTCTCAAAAAAATAAATAAAATCCAGCTCTTGAAAGAACCTGTAACCCTGTTTATTGGGATTCATTTAATATATTTACTGACAACTGGATAACTTTGAAACTAATACATTTGCAAAGTTTCATATTTGCATCATACCCAGCATTTAAATGATGACAAGGTAAAACCTGCATATGTATTAATATGTTAAGCTAGTTAACAACCATTTAAAAGGTTGCTACCTATGTGACATTAGCTAGTTAGTTAATTCCTGAAATAAACCCGATCATCTTTCATTTCTAGGCAGACTTTGTCTTCACAATTGCTCTTCACATATAGGTATTTTGGTCACAAAATCATGGGGGGAGATACATACAGATGACTTTAAAATGACTTTAAAGTAAAATTCCACAGCACTGTTTACTGCTTCTCTTCCTAATTCTATCAAACAGATTTTGTTTTACACATTTCTTTTTATCTTTATTGCCATAATATAAAAAAAGCAGAGTCAGTTAGGAGATGGACCAGAGACCAGCAGCAAAGTCCAACATGCAAGGTCTGCACAGGTGAATAAAGAATAAAAGTAGCTGTAGAAAAAAACAACAACACAGCCATTGGTTTATAGTGTAAAGTTAAATTCCACTTCAATTTTTACTCTTCTTGATGCTATTTTAAAAATGTTGCTCTCCACATTTTATTTTATGCTTATTGCAATAACAGAGCAGAGTAAGCAGCAGGGAGAATGATAAAGGGTCTTTCAGGTAATTAGAAATTATAACTTCCTGTGAATAATTATTGTAGGGAGAAACCAGGTACATTTTAGGGAAAAGATTTTCACAGATATTTTACAGGAACGGTGAAACTGAATGTTAGAGACTGATAAATTACTCTCAAAATTTTGCCCCCTCACTTCTACGATGGTGGTTACGCCCTCTGGAATATGGTGTTGATTTAGTCAATTATGTTATTTTTGTTGAGAATTTTATTTTTATTTATCTAAATGTTGTTCAATCAAATTATTTGAGTTGTCTTGAAAATGAAAATAAATATAATGTGTACAAAATTAAAAAATAAAATGTTTATATCAATTTAATGTAAAAATAAAAAACAAAAAAAGAGTTAAACTTGGATTTCAACAGTGACAGAGAATCAGTTATATGTTCATTAGATTTACAGCTGGATGTTAACTAAGTAACTAAGACCATCAGTGAAATGATTGGCCATTTTTATTTCTGCCATTTTCTACACTAAATGCTAGTCACACCAGGTCAGATACAGTTTTCATTTTGTAGGTCTAGTCATAAATCAGATTAAGTTGGATAATAGTAATAGTAATAGTGATTTGCCCATTTAATATTTTTGTCATACTTAAATAGAATAAATTCTGTTAACACTTAAACATGTTTTTTTCTTGTATTTCATAGAGATTACTCCTCTTTATTTCTGATTCTGTGATTGTAATGTGTTTGTTGATAGCTTCTGTCCGCTGCTGCTTTGTGTTTTTAGTTCTTGTTTTATGGTTACAAATAAAGAGTTGAAAAAAATAAATAAACACAGTTTAGTTGTTTTGTCAGATGCTATTCATCACTGGCTGATAGTAAGATGCATTTGCAACTGTGTCAGTAATCAGTTTGCTCTAACTGTACTGTAAGCCTTCAGATTTTGCTTGAGTAATTCAAATGACTTTAATGGATTGTGGCTGAGGTCACTAACCCATTTTACACACTTCTAGTCTCCAGTTTTACCTTCTCTAACACTGTGAGATGTTTTGACAAGCTCACCCTGCCAACTGAATGCAACTACTGCAGAATTTTTGTAACTGGCAATAAAGGGTTAAATCAGTGGTTCTCAACCCTGGTCAAGGACCCGCTGCCTTGCATGTTTTAGATATGTCTGTTCCAGCACACCTGATTCAAGTCATAGGTCCTCCGCTGCAATGAAATGCTGCAGAAGCTTGTTAATCATCCATTCTTTTCTGCTATGGTGCAACAAGGAAACAAGTAAAACATGCAGGGCAGGGGTCCCTGAGAAACAGGGTTTGGGGACCACTGGGTTAAATCAAGTATAGAAATATAATTAGGTGCAACACTTGTCCGACATAAATGTCTAAAGATGGTAATGGGAATGAACCATTTGATTCAGGAATGTTGGATTCAGTATTGCATTCAGTGAAAAAATGTTGGGGGTTGTACCTTTAAGGACTCTGTAAGACTCATTACTGTACCAATACTGCAGATTTGGATTTTCACACTAATTTACTGTCATGATCTTGGCACTGATGACTGGCTTAATTAGTCATTCCATTCAGCTATCTAACTCTGTCTGGTTTCTCATCACTGCTCATCTGATCCACCTGCTCTTGCCTCTATATAAGATGCTTGCATCCAGTCATCAGGGCCAGATTATTCTTGTTCTCCCTAGCCAGTGGTGAGAGTGTTTTTAAAGTTCTTTGGTGTTTCTGATTTGCTGATACTGACCTTTTTTGCCTCTCAACCACTGACCCTCCCTGTTCCCATCTGATCTTAGTGGTGAGAGCATTTTTAGCATAACCTTAGTGTTTCTGATTACCTGATCCTGACCTGCTCTGCCTCTCAATCACTGAGCCTGGCTGTTCCTGTTCTGATCCATTTGTCTGACCTGTCTTCGGACACCGGTTTGCTCTCCAGGACTGCAGCATCTGGGACACGCTGGGCGGTGCAAGTTGTATCTTGTTGGCAGCCCACTGGCTTCATCCTACCTTGTTCTCTGGACTGAACTTGCTAACTTGTTAGTGACTCACTAACAATAATCTTCCTCCGTTAGATTTACATGGTCACAAACCTGTGTTTCGTCTCTTTAGAGTTTCCTACCTCAGACGTTCTAGCCGCTTTTTCTGAAGACCCATTTGTTTTTAGTAAATGCTTTTTTAATAATCCCACTGTCTGTCTGGCCGTGAATACGGGGTCCTCTCTTTTGAGTTGTGACAATTACAGAGATCAGGTAAGGTTGGTGTACCATAGTGATGTGTTAATTAGGCATTATTAACACTGTTTAACGTGACAGTCATTAGCAACAGCTCCCATATCAACGTGATCAAAAACATGGGTTTTTGATCTATGAACTTGAGAAGTGCCAATGCATAGGTGTTGTTGGACCAATCACTAGTGAGCCCTCTGTCTATCGGTGCGTCTATCTGAGATCTTATGCACAGAAGCTCACACCTTTAGGAGCTGTTCATAATTTTTTGAAGGTGTGCTAGTTTCCCTGGTTTAATGACTCAATGACTTAATATCTGGAATACAAATAAAAAGATTAGCTGTTCTTGTTTGATTTGCTATTAACATATATCAGTATTCACCATGGCCCCTTTGTCCTATCTGAAGTTTTTTATTCATCTTTTTTTTAGAATAACGAATACAAAAAGCATATTGTAGTTCAATCAGATTATTCTGTGTCAACTTATATAGATAAAAGAAATAAAAATGTCTCACTGTGGCAAACACTCCATTGGGTTATCTTTAAAAGTGAGATAAAAACTGAACCCTTATCTTAAAAATCCTTCAAGTCTAACTTAAAATTTTTACCCCGTTGTAGTTTTGAAAGCAGTGATGCAGGCACGACTTAAGACTCACTACACAGGATATGTGGGCCTGCGGATTAGCAACAGATCAATCTACATAAACCCCCCTGGAGCCTGTTCCCTCTGTCCCTCTCTGCTATTCCTTTTTCCAGCTTCCTTTTCCTTCCTTAAGAAGAAGGCAGAAAGGGTGCACCCCCAGAGAGCACTCTGGGTAATTAAAAAGAGGGCATGATCAAAGAGGTTAGAAGGTTGTGAACTCCGTGATCCTGAGGCACGTGGCCTATTCCCTGCAGTATACTCATAACAGAACGGTATGCCTTGTAAAGACTAGTGTTTCGACAGGTTGAAAGTGAGGTTTGGTCAAGACAGCCTACTGAATGCTACAATTAACATACTAACAATAGGGCTATTTTTGTTTTCGTTTTTTTTTTTGGCAGCCAATCAATAAGCAGTAAAGTAGTGTTGAGTTGGCAATGTCATGCTGAAGTTACAAAAACCTATGAGCCTACCTTGGTTGCGATTTGCAACACCGAGAGATGAAGCATTTGCTCGATCTGTGTGAAAATGGAAAGGGTATTTGTTACATCAGTTGTCAAATATCTCAGCCTTTTATGTATTTAAAGTGAGGGAGTAGCATGCATAGTCCATTTTTATAACTGTATTCTATATCTCATCTTATTTAGATCAGAGTTCTTTGAAAGCCATTGCAGGACATTCAGGGACATAAATTAGTTAATGCATAGACAAAGTAGCGCGCATGCAGCCCAAGTGTATTTTTCACAACAGAAAGGAAGGGAAGTTTATGCATGGAAGTGCCTGTTGTTATTCAGCGCATGGAGTCACCTTCAGGCATCAACATGCGGAGGGATGCGCGGCTGGAGCCACGTCTTCATAAAGAATGGGTTTTTCTTCCCTTTCGCTTTGGGCACATCTTTTTGTGTCTTTGTGTGTGGTTGAGCAAATATTCAGGAGCGTAAAGCAGAGATATTTCTTTGTTGTGCTAATATATTGGGTAAATTTGCAGGGTTCTTACAACATCAAATAAAATAAATTGTAAGCATGAACATTTTATTTTAGAACACTATGTGAAAGTACTTCTCATTTAATAAAATATAGGGTAAACGTGACATGCAACTTGCAGTGCCTTCTAAAAGTATCCAAACCTCTTTAATTTGCATTTGTAAAACAATATTTTATTGGGTTTGAAGCAACACATATTTCAGTTTAGACTCAATGGCTAGCTTAATTTGAGATGACAATTGTGCATATTAAATTCTGGGAGCATATTGATGCACCATGAGGGAAAGACTTTTCAAAAACTCCCATATGTAACTAAAGCGAGTGAAATCCATCAGTATATAAGCCATGTGACCTTAAGCACCGATTTACGGCTTCCCCTTTAAAAGGAGAGCTAACCATAAATAGTTGCTGTTAAGCAACAAAACAGATATGACAAATACCTTATCAGACATATTTTTGGTTCACAGATGTAGGAGTTAATCTAGAAGGGTAAATGTGACCTTTCCTTTACAAGTAACTCCCTCACTTCTCAATCTGTTGGTCAAAAGTGGTTTGCTGTCAGGTTGCACAACATTATGGGAGACCGTTTAGATTTACCACAGTGCTGTGTTGCTAATTGCTTCCAAAACGTTGCATGTCGAGCACCCCTAGTGGCTTAAAGTTACAGTGTTGCTTTAAAACAATAGACCAAGTCAAATTAGTATCTGAAAAATGTGACACGGCCCCACTGAGTGCTGATCAAGCTTTTCAAATAGTGAACACAGGATCTTTTATTTGCATCAGCTTTTTAGATTGCCCAAAGCTATTACTTCAAATTGGATTTGGGCTGCATCATTTCAAAACATAAAAAGGCATATAAACCATTCCATCTAACAAACATATGTTTGGCTCTGTGTTCAGTTAATGTCCTGCTGAACATTAAATCTTCTATGTGGTCTTTTTTTTAAACAATTAATTGGTTAGTCTACCAGAATGCTCCATTTGTCTCCCCAATAACTCTGACTAGCTTAACCGACTCTTCTCAAAAAAAAAAAAAAAATCTCCATATAATGATGTTGCTGCCAATAATGTAGCGGTAGTGGAACATTCAGAGAGTCGGCTTGAACTTTCATCATCTTAACATTTTCCATGTTGGTTGCAAAGTTCCTCTTTTGTCTTGACTGGCCGGAGCACTTTCTTACACTTTTTATAACGTCTTGGAATGCACACCCAAAAGTTGTGCTGTTAAAAACCATAAAAAATTGCATTCTGTTATAAAATTGTTTAATAGTGCCAATGATACTACTTTGTAATCATACTTGATACTACTTTTGTCTAACACATACATTCTGGATGCCATACATTTTAACCTTTAGATGAAACAAAAAAAATCTTTTATTTAAGTGAACAGCTATAAATACTTGTTTGATGCACTAAAACCCTCTTTTGTTAATTTGTACAGCAAAAAAAACTATGAAAATCCATAAAGATTTCTAATGTCATCATTTACATGCTATTTTTTAAGCTTAATAACATTTCAGGTATTTAACTATGTAATTGTTTTGTGTTCATCCTAAAGAGTGCGCAGGTGAAAATTATGTTAAGCATAAAAGTAGGTGTGTTTGCAGGAATGTTGCATATGTTTTTATTGCTTTGCAATACAAGTTTGGCATCATTTGTGAAAATTTTGGAAATAAGGAAACTCTCTTTTTATCCTATTTGTTACTTATCTCAAAATTGTCAAGACTTATAATAGTGTGCTCCTTATTGAAATGCACAAAGATGTGTAGTTTTTTCTTTATGCATTGGTCCACTTTGATGACCAAGAATACAAAATTACTGTTCTACATGTACACCCAGTCTAAATGAGTGTTATTCAGTGAAAGACATGCTGATCACTGCTTTATATGTACCACAGTCTCTCACACCAACATCATCAGTCGAACAAGAGTTAGTCATGGCTGGGGGAGGAAACCCATTAGTCAGCATGCCAATTAAAAAGCTTAAACAACTTACGCACTGTTCCATGATTGCTGGGAATGCCTGTGGAAAAAGAAGAGGGGGGAAATGTTTTAATCAAGTGTCAGCTTGTTTCACTTTGATACATGAGTCACACAGTTGAAAGAGAACCAGTTGGATGTTTTTTTTTTTCTTTTTACCTTGAAAAGCCCAATGTCAGAACAGTTATTAGTTTGTCCATAGTTTGTGAATCTTGTCCAAACTTTTACTTTTTACTAATTATAATAAGTGTTTGACCAGAGACAACATGTCAAAGAATTAAAATGCTTAATACTAAACATACATTTTTTCTCCTATTCATAATTAAAGGGTGAGGTATTTCGTCTAAGCTGGATCTTGCTCTGCTCTCCCTGCAGCAACCGTTTTCCCATATGTATTATCAATATCTGGCTGTGGTTCTATTATCTTTGTACTGAATAATCGCCATCAGTGAAGGGTTCTGATGTCCACAATTAGTTTAATCCCTGACCTTTTTTCCCCTGTCTTCTATGATTATGTTCAGGAGTTTCTCAACTGCTGGAAGCAGAAAACCAGCACAGAGGCTAGAAATGTTTAGAATTTAAGTTTTAGTTTACCAGTTATTAAGTGAGGCCAAACAATAAAACACTTGTTCTATGTCAGGAATGGAGGGCATACAACATTGCCCTTTGGAGGCATTCTACAATTTGATCAAACTCCCTCAAACACCTCTTAACCTCTGTACCTGCTCGGCAAAACGAGATAACACTGCTGGCAAAGTGGACTGTCGAAAAAAAAATGGTGTAGTGAGTTTTCTTCTACAACAGCAATATTCTCTTTGAGAAGAAAAGTTATAATTAAATTAATACCAACATGATGTATGATATGTTGGGGTTCAAGCACACAGATGCAGACAGTTAAAGGAACAGGGAAGCATTGATTCATAAATAATTTCTATGTTACAAAAAGTAAAGGTACACAAGCTCTACAGGTAGCTCTATGTAGGATAATCAGATTTCAACGAGCAGTTTGCATGTCAACCGGACAAAAAGAGAGCACATAAAGTTAGTCACAGTAAAAGCTGAGCCTATAGCTATGTCAAGGTGAGACAGGAAAAACAATAAAAAACAGGCCCAATGGGTCAACTGAGTAAGTCTCAGCTGTTTTGCAGAGATGAATGGAGAAAGACTTAAACCTTTAAATGTGCAAAGTAGCTATCTGAAATACAGGTGTGACTCTAGCAAAGAATGGTTCTACAAAGTGTTCTCTTTGTGGTGGTGATAAAGGATTGTTTAAAAACATGGATGTGTGCTGATTAAAACTGAAAGGCTTTGTGGAACGTTCACACCAAAGGCATTTTGGGCATCAAAAACACTTAAATTTAGACACTTGGTCACCTACACTGGTCTGCATGCTTTGACGTTCTGGATGCTCTGCACTCTAGTTATTGAGCCGCTCTGTTCTTTCGCTACAACCTAGAGAGCAGCTTGGCTTTATTCACTTAAAAGAGATTGAAAAATAGTTTTAACACATTTTTAAGTGAAATAGTTTACCTCAAAACATCATCTGTGCAGACAGATCATCAGGATTATCATCCTACAAAAATATTCAGTTCTTGTTCAGCGTGCTAGATCCGTCGGATATAGGGGAGCGACAGCGTTGGGCGTCCCCCAGTGAAAGCTCTCTGAAGCTGAGCAGGCTGTTGGGGACTACCCGCTACATTCGAAGTGGCTGGAAGTAAATAAGAAGTGTTTTTAAGGTTTGTGGTAAAACCTGCAAGTACCAGAATATACAATTGAATATTTTTCACCGACAGATTTTAACATTTTTAGTTTAATGATAAACTGTTTCGCTATAGTTGATAAAAAATATTTTAGTGCACTTAGGATTATCCGAACTCGCCCTGTGTCAAGTTCAACCCCTTTGTATTTATTTATTTTTGATATGCACACAGCAGCGATCATGGCTTGCAGTGATCGCTTGCTAGTTTCTGTTTCCCCAAAAACTCCTGGATTAGCTTTTATGATTAGTTGATGATATGCGTCAAGCTGAAAAGGTTCTGATTTATGAACTCCAGCTTTGAAAGCTCAGAGGCTGGGACGCCAGGATGCTCTGACACTAATAACAATAAGATGGGCCGCTCTAGATGATCAGCCGCAGTGCAGGACCTCTTGACACTGCTTGACGCGGTCCTCGAACACTTTGCATGTAAATCGGATGCTTTGATGCCCAGAATGCATTTGTGGGTAAACGTACCTTTAACCTTTCTGATTTTATTGTGTAAAAAAATTAAATAAAACAATCAAAACCTCCTTATGAATTTTTTTCCTGATATATATCGTGTTCATTCCAATTTGTACCTATTCTTCTTCCTTGCATGGACTAGAACATTTTTAATGCATTAAATTAATAAATGTTTCAGTTTTGAGCACCTGATTACTGATCAGAGTTAATCAAGGAAGATTTGGGCTAATTCCAATCTCTAACTAATCAAACTATGTTAGTCATAATTTTTTTTAAAGCCTTACAAATAAATGCCCTCAACCTGGGCTTTAATCATGGAGTATATGGATGGCGTCATCATATTTATGATTTAGCAAGTAAATTGAAAAATAAATGTATTTCATAAGTTCAAAACCTAGCACGGGGAATTTAGACATACATCATATGTTTAAGGCATAACTTAAAATGAAACTTTTTTTGTTTTACTTTTTAAGACATTGCAGAACCACTTAATATTTAATTCCAGTCTTTCTTAGTCACTTCCTGTTCCTGAACATTACGTTCTTAATACAGAACAAGACTCTTTTTTTTCTAAAAGCTCAGCTTCATTTTATACCAGGTCTCCATGCACTAGGATATAAATATGTAATAGACCCTACCCAGAGATTAATGATTGTCATGATAAAAGAGGAAGACTTGCTGACAGATGAAACCTATTAAACCATAATTACACGTTGCATGTTCAACAGATTTGTCCTCACAGAGACTCTTTACATTTAATATCTTTATAAGAAGCAATTCATGTAATAGATATGGGCATGTTAAGGGTCTACATCTGTACTCAAGAGAAAAATAAGCATAATTCAAGACAAAATGTGCACATTCAACACCTGGGGGAGCAATATTGTTGCGTCACTTCCATAATATTGCATTTCATGCCACAGCCAAACAAGCGCTAATATTGCTTTTGATATGGCAAGACCTTAGTTTCATCAGTTCAGGGCAGATGCGTCCTGGTGGTGGATTTTTTAATAATGGCCTGTCAATCTGACGTTGGGCCTCACATTGCAGGAAAGCACATAAGACTGAGGTTGTATGGGGGTAAATCCAGCAATATCTCCTTAGAGTTCACAGAGTTTCTAATAAACAGACTCCCACATGCAGTCAGATATAAGTGCATATTCATAACAACACTTAAATACCAGTGCACAAACATGCAGATGATTCATGAAACACATATTCATACAAATCACTAGATAATTATCTAATTAATCAACAGCAGATTTGAAAACAATAATAGGAAAAGCGGGGTTACAGCAAGGGATCAATAGTAATATAAAATACCCTTCAAATCTAATCAGAATTCTAGTCAGATAGTCAAAATTAGCAACTGAAGAACCTGCAATAAATCTATGAGGACTGCTGCTGTGAGGTTTTCAGACTTCAAGGCTATAAAAAGGCGAAATCAGGGACTATCCGGCTAGATTTTCAACCATCTGGCCACGCCTGGCCATCTACCTCCACAACCCTGCAAAGCTGTGTTAGATTTATCGAGGCAATGAGCCTCCCTACCCCCTGGCATAGGATTTGATAAATGTGACTCAACTCCTGTCTAACATCATAATGGAGATAATGCTAAAGAGCACTTTCTGCCTCTGAGATGCCTTGCAATATTGTATTCTGAAGTTTGACCTTTTTATTGTAATGATTAAATAAACAGTTGACCAAAGTTCGAAAAGGCAAATCAAATTTGTACAATGCTATTACGATTTAATAAAAAGGATAGGAAGTAATTCTATTAAGAGGTGAATATTCAGATATTTACCGGCCTAGTAAAACTCTTCCTCATCTTATTGACCTTAGCAATACAGAGGGAAACCATATAGTTTTAAAAGGAATAGTGGAACCAATTTTAACTACTCGGTTTCTGCCACTTAACCACTGTTGGCTAGATCAATAGAGATAAAATATCTGCCTTAACCCAGATGATTTGGCAGATATTTATATGTGCCAGATATATACAGTATATCACAGGTTGTTTAAATAAATACAAGCCTTATTGCGTACAAACTCTCAAATTACTGACATTAAAGATTCTCAAAGATTCTTAAACCATTTCTCCCATTAATCTGGCAAGAATAGTATAGGTTGATTAGCTAACAAACACTTTAAAATCAGTCATAAGTTGTTTTGTTACCAGCCTAAAACTTCATGGTTTTTAAAACTAACTGCTGTAAAGGTTTCTTGTATCATGTGGCTTGGGATGTCTTTCACTGCATTGCATTATCATAAGAAATTATATATTGATATTTTATGTGTAAGATAAGTCGATGTCCAAAATTTGTAAAAGACGGCTTTGATTTTCTACTTACATATATTTGCGGTTCCTTTGGGTATTGGGAGATAGGAGCCCACACTCCAGGCTCTTCCGTGGTAGTGCCTCTTGCAGCGACTGCAGTCTGGCCCTGTGGTGTTGTGTTCACACTCACAGCCCAGCTTCCCCTTGTCAAACACACAGCTGTTGGCATGCAGGTTGCACTTGCATCTAAGACAAAGGGAAAGCAATAAAAGACAAAGGCTTGAATAGGCTTTGAGCTGCATTCACACAATCAATACCTTCTACAGGGAATATACAGTCAGCCCTCACGGCAATTTTTATTTATGCCTTTCAGAAATTGGGTAAATTGAAATCCTCATGGGTTATCTGAGATAAATCATGCCTTCTCAAAGCTTCATTATACTCTGTTTAAAACAAGAAAACGAGGCATAATCTGTTGGCACCCCTGTGGAGGGAACCGTATTATGAATAAGGTCACTTTTTTGAGGGCGGAATGAAAGACACTCTGTAAGATTCAATAACTTAACTTAAAAAGGGGCCTGTTAGAAAGATAACAATAAAAATGCTGTGTATACTGGGAGTTTTTGTTTCTGTGTCTTTAAAGTAGTGTTGTTTATGAAAGCCAGCCTTTGCTTTAAAACTCTGATGGCAAAGCTAGTTTATAGACTGAATCGTAACATAGCTGACAGATGCTTTTGACAGCAGAAGAGAGAAGGCCTGACGGTTTTCTACATCGCTTTTGGCCAGGTTTTGAGAAAAAAAAAAAGGTTAGCTGGTGCTTTATTTTGAAAGACCTCAACCATCAGTAGGTGCAAAGAGTAAATTCCATTTGTTCAAAATATAACTTTTCTTCAGTGTTTTCATTCCCACTGTAAAGATCTAGGAGATGGAAAGAATTGTATGCTTGTTGTAATAAGAAATATTACAGTTTATATTTTAGAGATATAGAGAGATTTTAGAGATTATAGTTCTCTGGATTTGGTGTAACTCCCAGTTGGGTAACAAGTTACAACTAGTGACCTCAGCTTCTTGTGAGGTGAAAGGAGAGGGAATCAGATGGGAGGAGAGCATGAAGTGGATCTGACACTGTAGACCTCCCAGAAGGTTTAGGGAGCTTGTAGTTTTGCATTGAGTCTATGTTTGTTTTTACAAACTGCTTCCGAGGGAAAACTCTTCCTGTTTGAACCCATGAAGGTTTTTTTTTTGCGTCAACTGCAAGTGAACATGAGACAGAGTAACGACAGAAAATATCCATTCTAATTGAATTCCTGGCCTTGCTTTGACATCCAGATGTATTAATGGATAACAGGGATGAGGCAGTACATAATTCATCTCTGCTACAGGTAACAGCAAAACAAAGGAAGTTTAAAATGCTCTCTCTTACTTACTATAGGCCTGCATTGTCAGTGATTAAATAAATTACTGGGCTTTATTAACCAAGGCTGTTATCACCTTAACATTCTAATTATTCTGGAAATATCTTCTAGTTAGAGCTAACCAGAGTACTATGCCATACTTAGGCATGACCCGTGGTGTTGAGGGTTGCAAAAGAATTTAATTAGCTGAAATTCTTTTAAACGTAAAGGGATGTTACCTATAAGTGATGTTAGGTATGTCCTTTATCATATTACATGTAAACAAGTGTCTATGATAAATTCCGATATTATTCTTGATGTAATGTTTAATTCAATAAGCCTTCCTTGGCTGTAGGCATCATGATATGACACAGAATTATTCATTCATGGCCAAAACAGAAGATCGTCAATCAACAAATGCTTTTAAATATCTAAATTTCATTAAAAAAGGGGGCCTGTGGCAGATATTTCTTTGGAGTTCACCTTTTTCTTTTGAATTATCTACAGTATTCTTATTTACAAAAGCACTGTGACACGCCTACTTTTTTGATGTCTTAAATTACTTAAACCAACATTATAACATTTAAAATAGAACATAAACATTTTAATCCAAAGGTATTCCGTTTGAGATGGAAAATAAAAGACATTTATTTTGGATTTAAAATGTTAGGTAAGATATAAGATATTTCTTTAAGCCCATTTTTTGTTTTACCCAAAATCTTTGCTAAACAGACTTTAAATACAACTTGGCTAAATACAGGTTTTTAAAGAAAGTTTTAGTTGTTGAAGAGAGTAACAGATTGAAAATATTTTATAAAACAACAAAATGGAAAATATTTAAACCAAAATGGACAGACACTGGACATATTTTTTTAAACATCCAAGATCCAGCCTTACAATATGTGGTTATTTTAATAATTTATGACAAACTTTGAATAAAGTAATGCCTTCAGTTTATTGCAGAGCAGATGAATTATTATTTTTTTTATCTTTAACAAAAAAGAAGCCCCTTAGCCCATTTAGCTTGATGAGAGCCTTTTCTTCAAAAGGTTTGAACAATCAGGTCTAAATATGTTTCAATGTGCAGTAGAGCAGATCAAAACTGGGATTTTTTTCTCTCCTTTGATTTAATAAAACACAAGTGTGTGTGGAGCATCGTAATGTTTTATTTTATTTTACTTTTGCCAGTGAGATGGACTAAAAGGTGCATGATAATTCTTATTACTACCTTTATCTTCAAGGGTTCAAACCTCATATTTCTTTTACAGTCCGTCTCAAACTGCCAGTAGAACTTGCCATGCTAATGGACGGACCAGAGTTAGTTTACGTCATTTGTACAGTGACCACTGTAGATCACTAGCAGATAAACAACAATTATGTAAATACTGAAAAAAGATTGTATGTTCAATTTAGTGCCTCTTATTTAGACTCTTTGAAGATTAAGCCCTAAAAGTATTGTTCTATTTGAAAACAAGCAAATAGGCACTAAATGACTTATAGCAGATATCACATGTATCATATTATTTTCTTATTTTAGATTTTTATCTTTCATGAATCAAATGATGAAGCATTATTATTGATTGAAGCTGCTCAGTGGTGCAGTGGGTGGCACTGCTGACTTGCAGCAAGAAGGTTCTGGGTTTGATTCCTGGCCCGGCGTCTTTCTGCATGGAGTTTGCATGTTCTCATGAGCATACGTGGGTTCTCTCTTCCTCCCACAGTCAAAAAACATGACTGTTAGGTTAATTGGCTTCTCTAGATTCTCCTTGGGTGTGAGTGTGTGTGTGTGAATGGTTGTTTGTCCTGTGTGTCTGTTGCCCTGCGATGAACTGGCGACCTCTCCAGGGCATACCCTGCCAATTGACTGCTGGAGATATTCCCCAGCACCCCTTGGGACAAGTGTGTCAGAATGGATGGATGAAAAAGTAAGAAGAAAATATGAAGTGGAAGAAAAATAAAATATGTCTCAACTATTTTGGAAATCAAAATCTGAGATTGTTTACAGTCCCCAAAAGTCAAGTCTTTGTCCAATTCCCCTTTTCTTAAGCTAAGATATATTTCTTAGGGGCACACAAGCTGGTGACAAAAAAAAAAAAAAAAGCCAAATATTTTTTCAGCAAGAAGAAATATAGGTTTCTTCTTGCTGAAAAGGAGTTTTCCTCTCCACTATCGCTCTAAGCATGTTTGGCATGAGGGATTGCTCTTGAGTCAATACAATCTGCTGGTTTTCTTTAAATAGAAACCTTTGAACCAGTCTGACTGTATAATCTGGCTAAATTTTCTCTTTAAAGTGCCCTGAGATGGCATGTGTTGTGAATTGTTGCTATATAAATAAACTGAATTGAACTGAATTGTTTCCCTGTATGTTTAGGGCCATTGTCCTAATAGTTGACCCAATCCTCTTTTGCTACTTTAAAAAAAAATTGTTCTCCATAATTATCCTGGATTTAGATTCATCAATCTTAAAATCAGCCCTGACCAGCTTCCTTTTCTCTTTTAAGAACACCACCACCTAAGCATGATGTTCCCACCAACATCTTTAACTGTGGACATGTTGTTTTCTGTCACATACAGTCTTTTGTCTGCAGAATAAAACAATGCCATGATTTTCTATCAAAATTAGCTAGCTTCTTTCCAATCTCACATAAAATCAAGGTGTAGGACTTAAAGTTGTCCTGACAACCTCCAGAGGTCATCACACTCCTATTGGCTCCTTGACTAGTCTGTCAGTTCAGGGTGACAGCCATGTTTTGGTAGATTTACTGTTGTGCCAAAATCCTTTAATGGATGATGAATTGAACAGCGCACAGTCAGACAACCTGCTGACTCTGCTTTATATTTCCCTGACCTGGGTGGTCTTCTCATTTTGTCTTTATAAAACTTGTTGTTCAGTAATGCTCTAAGGGTTAAATTATTGGGGTATTAGAGTTAAAGGTTTGAGTTGTGAAAGTTTCCCAAATATAAGGAACTTCAGTGATCACACTGAAATAGTTAAATATTTGATGATAAAAAAACAACAACAAAATTTTTTTTTTAACAGTATTAAAGTCTTAAATTATATACATTGCAAGTAAAAATGGATAACATTTATAAGCAGTCCAGATCCTCACACCAACAAAACACTCTTTCACCTCAAATTTCCCCATTGTCCCTAACTTTTTAATCAATTAAAGTCCTCGCTCTATAAAATTAATGACTGGGTGTAGCTCCTCTGCCATGCAGACAGCAGTGACTCCCTGAAGTCAAGAGCAATGAGATTTGACCTTCCACTTAATTAAAAACCAGCAAAATCTGGATCATCAGCCCCAACCGGCATGGCAAGCAGGCTGATAGAGGAGAGGATGTGGACTCAGGGGAGCTCTGGGATGCAATGCTTTTGCCGCCGGCATTGTCATATTGAAATCGAAGAACTTTTCGGTAGCTTTGGATATTGGTCACAGGAGGGGAGAGACAGAGAGAGGAAAAAAGGTAGCTCCTGCCAATTCTAGCTTACCTAGACCTTTATTTGAAGATTAGCTGTTAAAAAAAAAATAAATAATGAGATTGTAACTACACTGAAGGCATAATCTTTATTTTTCTTTACGATACAGACTGCAGAGATCATTTAAGCCCTTGTGAAACTGCCATTTTAATTAAAGTCTAGACAAATGTTGTGTTCTGCAAATAAGGGTGGTTATGCAGTAAGTTAGCTTAGGTTATGGAGCAAAGTGTATCTTTTGTACAACAAAAATGTTTGTGATGTTTGAGTGATTCTTTTTTTTTTTTTTAGAGTTTTTACGGCATTAGTGGCTCGTTTTTCCGACAGTAGGCTGACAGGAAAGGGGGAATATGAAAGAGGATACAGTTGAAGTG